AGAGGGACTTTGCGGGTCGAGATCTGGACTTCCATGTTCAGTCGACCATACCTCTGTGGGAATGGAGGTGAAGGGTGGAAACTCTTTGATTGTGACTCCCAGGACAGAACTCCGAGGTGAATATCTAGGTTGGGACTCTTAGGTTGAGATTTAGGGACTCTGAGGGTTTATCATCTACGGTACTTCCATCTAAAAGTGAATCAGAGCTAGCAGTTGGGTGCACAGGAGCGAAACGCAATGAAAGTCTGGAAAACCAGACCTCAGTTGGCGAAACAAACCAATACATATGAAATACCAACTATGAGTGCATGTTTGAATTGTGAATTTGTTATAACAACCCCTGTCAGGTGTGTGTATGAACTTTGAGGGTTGAGATCTCAACTCCGAGGCTGAGATTTACAATACTTGTGCGGATATGCAGATAAGGGTGGGAATCTCAGGTTTGTGAGGATTGAGCCCTCAAGAAGGGGCCTTGCCATGATGTACATGTTCTGGGCTAAGGCCCCAGCAAGCCTAGTGCCCGCCCTAAGTGAAGGCGGGCCAGCAAATCAACAAGAGCCCTCTATGCCAACATTTCACGAAGTGGGGTCTATACAGTTGCAGCACGCCAGTTGGTTGGAGTGCACCGAGTCTCGGATTTCAGCAACTGCTGAAATGCCCAGGGCCTCTGAGTTAGTTAGGCCCTGGGCACTTGAATGTGAGGCCAACAATGCACGCTGGGTAGAGAGGCGGAAAATGCCAAAGGGGAATCGGCCCACTGTCTGAATCTGTCCGCAGGCCTTGATGAAGGAGGCGCAACTGCATTGCCCCGGGGCCCAACTGTATCGGGTTGGCTTCAGCCTCTTGGCCCCGGTCACAGGCTGAAGGGAGGCCGCCCGCACGCTGCACTGGCATATAGGCAAGCAGGGCGAGGCAGCAGGGATCTTGGCCAATGCTGGCACATGCGGGCACGCTGCGCGGATGCATGTGTGCTGCGCTGTGCAAGGCAGTGCTGCGCTAAGAGCAAGCAGGCCAGCGCTAGGCGGTAGGGCGCTGCCTGCACTGAGGGCACTGGCGGCCATAGCCTGGGCCGCAAGAGGGTGCAGGGGAGGTGAGGGCGAAGGTGGTACTTCGGAGGTGAAGGGCGCTGTGTGGGTAACAAGGGAGAGTGTGGGGAAGATGACACGTACCTGGTGATGGTGGAATACGGCATTGGTGTTGACATCATCACTCGCTGGTAGTCAAGTTGTTCGGTTGCTGTTCATTGCTGTAGCTGTAGGATAGGCTGTAGAGTAGATAGGGCGCCTGGTGCCATTCACAAGAGAGAGCTACATTTGGGTTATGCTGTTGGTGTTGCCCTGTTGGGCATGGACATTGACTCACGATTCTTCTGTATCATTCTCAATGGGATGGTTACTCGGTTCCATCTGCTATCTGCTTTGGCTTTGAATACTTGGACTTCAGTGTGATTTTGCATTCTGGATTTCTGTGCTTCGTCCATACTCGTGTTCCTTGCAGGTTGGGACTCTGAAGTTAAAATCTAGGTTGGGAGTCTTAGGTTGGGACTCAGAGGTTAATATCTATGATGCTACATCGATGTTCTACATCGAAGTGCTACATCGAAGTGCGAACCATGGCTGGCTGTTGGGTGTATGAACGGGGAACGTGCAGAATGTCTGGGAAAGTTGGGAAACCCCGATTGACAAAACCAAGAAGAAAGAATGGTTAGCTTGTTGCAAGTCTTGTGTCAAACCAGAGAGATGAACACCTGAAGTTTTCTGCCCGGATGTCGGGAATAATATGGCGGCTAAATGAAATTGCAAATTTTATAGATGTATATATGTATATATTGTCAAGCAGAGCTGACTCTGCCAAGTGGGCCGTTATGGAACATGGGAATGCGGGCAGCTGGCACTTAATGTGGCGAGCCTTGTACGTGAGAGGCATGGTGAACGGGGAGTTAAAAGAAGAATGAGAAAAATGAATAGTTCCAGTGTGCCCTTCATGTTGGTCTTGTTTTTTCCCTCTTTGAACCGTTTGCTTCCTGAAGTGCGCTCATTTATTTTAGTTCATAAATATGTGACAACATACTTGTAAATAGCTGGTTTTGAAGTTCAACAGTAAAAAACGAGAAGCTGCTAGCTAGCTGTTCTTTTTCCTTTTTTTAGTGCAATGACTGAACGAGTACCTTTCTGAAGCTTTTGTGCACTTCATAGGCAGTTTCTTGGGGGGGAGGAGGGAGGGGGGGGGGGGGGGGGGGGGGGGGGGGGGGGGGGGGGGGGGGGGGGGGGGGGGGGGGGGGGGGGGGGGGGGGGGGGTAAATGGCAGCTGACTCGCAAAATGTATGAGCTTACTTTTCTTTCTTTTTATTTGGTGATGTATATCCGGCGTCCGGTGTCCGGATGACTTGTCCGCCACTGCCATGGGTTATATTGAAATACGAATGAAGGCTGGCAGCTGGTTGTTTGTAAGGGGAAAGTGATGAAGGTACGAAAATCCGAATTCCAGTTGACAAAACCGAAGAAAACATCTTGTCATGTTGGGAAAAATTGTCTCAAGTTTTCTGCGAGGATGTTGGGAAAAATATCCCTGCACAATGCATACTCTTGAGATGTGGAAATGGATTCAGTTGAACTCGTTCACATGTTTTCTGAGCTCTCCTATGCTTCTGACTGTCCTTGGCTTAACTTTTTCCTTTGTTTTATTTTTTGGTTGTTCTTGTTGCTTCTTATCTTTAGCAGGTTCCTACTGAAGTTCTTGAGGCCAGCCTGTCGTCCCTTTTCCAGAATTTATGTAACAAAGATCGCACGATTGGTGCTGCCTGTGCAGAGGCTTTTGGGAGTATGGGATTGAGGGGACCTTTGCCCCTTCCCTTGGGCATTGTAGACAACAAGGGTAAGGGCAAGCAAGAAGACTCACCTGGAGAGGCTGTTGGTAATCAGGAAGGGGGCACTTCTGGAGCCAACGCCGATGATAGTTCCATCGATCCTACACGAGCTGCGGTGATCAAGAGAATTGCAAATCTTTTGGAGTCCAAGGAGGTCAGGGTTGTGACTAAGGCTGTGGAAGCACTTGGCCGCATAGGGTATTGTGACAATACAGAAAGCATTTTACGATTGATTCTGGACAACCTTTTCACCCTCTCAAAATCACAGGTTTGTAATCCTTTCTTTGACCCTCTTACTTCTTGGTATTACTCTGTTTAATCCCTTCACTGTGTCAATCCTATCATTGCAGTCGTCTCATTTCTCTGCTTTACTCTGCATTTCACCATCCACACGCTCGTCATGCGCTGGGGATGCTATTCTGTCCTGAGTGTATATGATATTATTCTGTGCGTCTTTATTGAAGCGCAATGCTGGTGGTTTGCTTGCGGGATCATGCAGGTTTAGACTACAGTCTACGGATGAGAACACCACCTCCACCAAGGACACCCCCTGTTAACCACATGCCCGGGACCATAGATGGGCATCCAGCCTGTATGCACATACATATCACACAAACAAACGAAAAAAAAGCTGAGTGAGGATGCCGCCCAGCCGGTTGGGCCCGGGGGGGCTGCCGGGGCAAACCGGGCGGACCAAAAAAACGCCCAGAAATAGATATATATATATTGTCACATTTGTGACGATATATATATATACTGTAATATACATATATATATAAAACTCCGACGAAACAGTTTGTCACAGCCCCTCGTTTGTTGTCCTCTTCTCCCTCTCTGCCTACGGTTTACCGGGCAGTTCTATTTGACGATATATACACAGCC